TGGGTGAACGGTTGGACTGGATGAGCTTTGAGGTCTTTTCCAACCTTAGTGATTCTATGATTCTATGATTCATCACAACAGGCACCAGGCCGCAGCAACGGGAATGTCAGCAGTAAAATACAGATCTCAGATGGAACTGGGCTGGCTGCACCATGGCACAGAGCAAGGCAGAGTCCTTCTGGAAATGAAAAAGTTCCACCTCCCGGACAAACCGAATCCTTATTGGACAAACACACAAAGCGTTGAAGTGTTTCTGGAACTAGAAATAGAACAAATGCCCAACACACGAATGTGCTGGGGATGCAGGCAGACTGAGAGATGTTGAAATGCATTCTCTTTTTTCCTCTCTTTAGCAGTAAGGCATTTTTGTTCCTACACGTAGGGACTCCTTACGTGGTACAGTCATTCATTTGGTCTCATTCTGCCTGCAAAATCTCACCTTGAAACTCCTTTCAGTCCAATAGCCTCTCATTGCTTTAAGCATCCACTTCAGCCCATTGCTTAATAGCAAATTAAAAGATGAAGTACTGGAAAATTTTTGAGACTTGTCCACCATGTGTTCCACCGGTTGCCTCACACCAAGAACTGTGCTGCATTTCCATTACGTGCTGCTGAGGACAGACAGCACGTGGGGACAGATGGAAAAGGGGAGTCGACTCTTTGAAAGGATAGACAGTAGCATGACAAGAGGAAATGGTCTGAAGCTGAGGGAGGGCAGATGGAGGTTGGATGCCAGGGGAAGTTGTGTGCTGTGAGAGCGGTGAGGGGCTGCAACAGCTGCCCAGAGAGGCTGTGATGCCCCGTCCATCCCTGGAGGTGTTCAAGGCCAGGTTGGATGGGGCCCTGGGCAGCCTGGGCTGCTGTGAAATGGGGAGGTTGGTGGCCCTGCTGTGGTGGGGGGTTGGAGCTTCGTCATCCTTGGGGTCCCTTCCAACCTGGGCCATGCTGTGATGCTATGAAAACTACTGCTTCCCTCACCGTGAAGTACAGGAGCGGCACAAAGATCAAAACTCCCTCAGGACCCAATGCTGAATGCAGGAACAGAAGCGAGGTGGCTGCAGAGAGCTTTGGTTCATGGATGGGAAATGGAAGAACTATGGATATGGTGTACTGAAGTCGGATCACAATGCCGTATCATCCACAGCCAACAAAGTTAGAGAAGAACAGGTGTAGGAAAGGGCAGTGAGAAAGACATCGAAGGGAGAACCGATCTTAAAGCAGAACCTGGTTTCATCAAGCTCACGGACCGAAAGCTGGAGTTGTGACTGATGGCCACAAAAATACCAAAAGGACAAAGGGTCAGGAAGCAGAAAATACGCTTTACAGGATAAAATTTAATTAAAACAATGAATAAACAAATGTAAGTTTAGAGGGAAACGAAGCTTTCTAATCATACCAGAATAAGAAATCTGGAGAAGCTTTACAGAGGCAAAACCTGAGCAGGAGGAAATGACTGGCATTTAATAAAAAGTTGATGAAAGAGGGTACAGCATACGGTTACTGATCTGAAAGATGGGGCAGAGTGCACCCTCAGCAAGTTTACAGCCAACAGCATGGGGGAGCAGGGGTACATCAGTGTCCTGCTGCCATCCTAGGGCTCTGGACAGGCTGAGAAATGGGCTGAAAGAAAATGATGGGATCCAACAAGGAGGAATAGAAGGATGTGCCTGGGGGACCCGGTTGGAAAAGGACATGGGATCCTGGTAGGTCCCAGTCATGACGTGAGGCAGTGCTGAGATCCCACTGCCAGGGAGGCCGATGGTACAGCAGGACCAGTGATCCTGCCCTTCCATTCAGCAGTGCTGGGATCAGCGTGGGCTCCCAGGAATAATAAAGACCTGGAAACGGCTGGGAGAGTCCAACAGAGGGCTGCAAAGAAGATGAAGGGCCTGAAGTAGCTCTGTTTGGGAGCAAAGCTGAGGGAGCTGCATGGACGTGGTGCCCAGCACCTGGGTATCCCTGCCACAGCACACCTTGGGCCTGAAGGACCCTGAGGTCCCTGCCATCCTCAACCTGCGACTGTGGTGTGATTGCAGGAGACCCGAGTGGAAGAAACCCTGCACTCCTCATCCTTAAATTTAGCTAATTGCTCCTGAATTGAACGCAGAGGGTTTTGGGGGGATGAAGTCTATTTTCCAGAAGTGCCAACCCATCACAGCTTCATTTGGGTTCCTGGATCACATGCAGAGATTACATTCTCCATCACAAGGTCTAAAGCTACACTACAAGTTGTCTGTTTCTGATACTGACACAGTCAGAAAATGCTGTTCAGCTTGCAAATATGAACCAATGTTTAAAGACGTGCAAACGTGCTACTTCTTTCTACAGAGGTCATTGACATTTGTTGCTTTGCTGGGCCTAAACAGTGAGACTTTTATCAGTTAAATACATTCTGTTTTGCTGTTTCAGAAAGGAAAATCAGATGGTTCTACTGCTTTTTGGCTTTGCTGTGTTGTTTTTGTTCTTTATTAGAGAACCAGAAAAGGAAAGTCCAGGAGGGAATACTCCCCCAGTGAGTGACACGGACAGGCTGGTAACAGCAGACAAGGAGGAGAAGGCTGAGATACTTCACAAATTTTAGCCTCTGCCTTCCCTGATAACTGCTCCCCATGCAGCCCTCAAACATTTGGTTGGGTAGGAAGAGATTGGGGAAGCAGCCTCTCTCCCTCTGTAAGCAAGGATCAGCTTTGTGACCACCTGAGGAACCTGAGCATCCACAAGTCTACGGTGATCCAGAGTCCTATGGGAATTGGCTAACGTGGTTACCAAGCCATTCTCTACGACATTTCAAAACTGGTGGCAATCAGGTGAAGTCCCTGGTGAGTGAAAAAACAGTTTCCATTTTTCCAGTTGCAGTTCATGTGGTGGGAGAACTGAATTTTCTACATAGGAACTTAAAGCATGATGGTGTCCTGAGAGGTACAAGCAAACAAGAGGCTACAACACAGAGCTCCAAGTAGCAAAGGCAGCACTGCAGCAGTATCAGGAGAGGAGGGCTGTCCTGAGCAGTTCCCATAGGGTAAGGCTGCTCCAAGGAGATGACCTGACTTGCTCCTGGCTCCAGAGTGACATAAGAGCAGAGGAAGCTGACAGGATCTTTTCCACCTTCCACCAAAGGCCTCTAAACCTCTACGATCAGCCCAGCTTTCTCCTAGGACCCTTCCAACACAAGAAGGACACGGAGCTGCTGGAGTAGGTCCAGAGAAGGGGCCAAAAGGTGATGATAGGGCTGAAGCACCTCCCATATGGGGACAGAGCTGGGGCTCTACAGCCTGGAGAAAAGAAAGCACCAGAGGGATTTTCTAGCAGCCTTCCAGTACCTGAAGGAGCGTACAGAAAAGCTGGGGAGGGAGCAGACAAACACAAGGGAGAACACTGCTATTCCTGCAGACAGTGCAGCACCAAGCAGAACTCCGGACTCCCTTTGCACTGCAATCTTCCATTCTCACAGCAGCTCTTTCGAGACTATTTCTTAGAAAGTTCTCTGAAATCAAGCAAAATTCAGTTGCAAGCTCATGCCTTCAAAGAGCAGTTTGACGCACTACTTCACACCTCCAGCAGCCTCTCTACGATTCAGAAAAGGCCTTTGCCATCTGTGCTGCAGACTGAACCAAAACACTGGGAATCCAGGCAGCAGTGGAACCCAAGCATCAGCCACTCCTGTGCTTCTACAAAATTCTGTTTTCCTCTGTAGCAGAGTCTCGTTGGCCCTAACAGTCAAAGGAGCTCTGAGGTGCCAGCTGCATGCACAGCGCAGTGCTCCCTATCCCTGGCGGTGCACTGCTGACTGAAGTCAGGTTCACGTCTCCAGCTCTGCTCTGATGAGGTCAGATCTTGACTCAGTATTAGGGTTCAGTATTAAGCCATAATCAAAACTCAGTATTTTCTTTTAAGAGTTGCATAAAAATAGACAAGGATTGGGACCGCAGCGCTGCGAGCTTACAACCATCTGCTCCCCAAAGCTAATCACAGAATTGTAGGGGTTGGAAGGGACCTCCAGAGATCATCGAGTCCAACCCCCCCTGCCAAAGCAGGTTCCCTACAGCAGGTCACACAGGTTGGCATCCAGGCAGGTCTGGAACATCTCCAGAGCAGGAGACTCCACCACCTCCCTGGGCTAATTTGCTGTAGGGCACCTTCAGCCCCCACCCACCTGGAGAATCTCCAGTATTTTGTCCTTGTGAGCTGCAGCACCACCTCACACCCTACGTGGCACTGCACAGCAGATCTGCACCAAGAAGGAATGGCACTACGTGGACAGCAGAGCAACATGGGGCCTCTGATCAGCTGCCCTCCCCAGAGGTCTCCAAGAAATCCTGGGCAGTTCCATCAGATGCACGCAGAGCACAGGCAGCAGACAGAAGGAAGGGCAGGCAGTGTGCCTGCTGGTACGAGGCTGAGGGCTCCTGGCTGTTGCACATGCAGTAACCTCCACATGTGGACCTTGAGGTCTAGCAGTGCTCAACGAGGAACGAGAGCAGTTCCCAAAGGGAGGACCAGGAAGCGCCTGCACTGAGCTGCTGCCTCTTTACCTGTGACTGCAAGAAATGTAAATGTGTTTTTGGTTGACCTACAGCTAAGGAGATAAAAAAGCCTTTAGCACACACGAACAGTGCACCAGGTCGAGGCAGCTCCCGTTTCACTCGAAGCAGAAATGAAGTATCTGACATCTCCCTTCCAAAGCCTTCTTCCAAAACCAGGGAAGAACCCCCGTCGCACACCTGAGGGAGGAGCAGAGAGGCACATTCATGGTCAGACAGGCCAGCAGCTCTAGAACTGAAGACACAGGTCTGGTGCCACTGTGCTGTCTCCAAGGGAAGCATCCTCCACGCAAGCAGTTTGTACTGCTTGCCTCCTGCCTCCTGCCAGGGGCAGCAGCATTCTGCCTCCAACAGCTCTCTGCGAATACTGCCTGCAGAGAACCACTGACAACAGGGATTAAGCAAACCTGATGAAAACTTGTGTTAAAATAAAAAATAAAAAAAAAAAAAATCAGGAAAATAATCCTGGTCAGAGGATGAGCTAAGACAGCAAAACAGCATTTAAACCAGGCTGCAGAACACGACACATGACAGAGGCTTTAGAGCACCTCCAGGGCGACCCACACCTTTCTGATGCCCCAAAGCACTGCACGAGAACATCTGGTGGGGGGTGTCTGTAGGGGCTGCCGAAGATGCAAGCATCATTAACTAACTCCAGTCCACCTCCTTCATGCAATGGCACAATGCCTTGAGATCCATTCTATGCCAGACCCCAAAGGGTCTGTGCCCAGAATATCCCGGAGCCCTCTGCTCTGCCTGGGCTACCATCAACTTCTGAATGCACGTATACCATTTCTTCCACCTCCCTCAGTGCACAGCAAATAGGAACTGAGCCTTCCACCTGTGACCCCTCTGTTCTTTCACATTTCTCCCATCTCAGTCTGGATCTGCAGCAGCCATTCTCACCTCGGGGACGGAAAGGGAGGGAAAGGAGCAGGGAGAAGGAAAGCAGAGGAAGAAACAATCATGGTGTTGGTGATCGGTCAGGTCCAGAAGCCACTTGACCCCAATAGATCAGAGTTCCCCTACGACAAGGGGTGAGCCTGGGAAGCAAATCAAGCAGACGGAATGATTTTCGGCAGAGAGAGAACAGTGGGAGTGGTACAGACCTCTTCCTCCTCAATGCGAGCAGGTTCAATCAGCAGATTATTGGCTTGATCAAACGACACCCCCTGTTAGGACAGGAACCAGCAAAGAGGCATGCGGATTAGTGGAGCATCAACCAAACCCGCCACCACAACCACCACCACCCAACACAACGCAACACACAGACGCACACCGCTCTGCCAGGGCTGCCTGCCGAGCAGACCCTGCTCACACCGCTCCTCAGGGCCACCTCCCAGCGAGGATGGGGACAGGGCAGCTCCCCAGCTCACAGCGTGCAGCACATCAGCACGGCCGGCTGCAGGCTGCCCCCGAAAGGCCTCACTTTGTCCGTGCCGAGGCGCTGAGGCTGTGGCCACCGAGTTCAAAGCTGAGCACCGTTAGCTGCCTTCAACCCCCCATACAGAGCTGCAGGGTGGAGGAGAAGGATGGAACGACCCAAGAGAAATGGCTCGTGGTGCCACCTGGCGGCCCACAGAACCAGGCTGTCCCAAACCCAACTGCGCTGCTCCCACCCGTAAGGGAAACGCTTCTGGTGGGACAACGCACCCAGGGATCCCACTCCCAAACATGGGAAACGTGCTCCCAAATCCCAAATGCAGGAATGTCCCCTGAAAGAATGCTGTCCTGGTTTAAGGACCTTGCATCCTGCATGCCCTGGTCTACCTCCTTCCTCACTGCACGAAACTCCACTGGGACACTGCTTCCCTACGTTACTGTTTCTCTATCAGCTCAGGAGGAGAGCTCATATCTGGAGCGGGCATTCAGTCCAGCCCAAGAAAATGAGAACTGTGATTCCCAACAGAAGGCTGAGCTTGTAACAGAGACGACTTTTTCTGACAGGTACCAAACCTGTGGCCTCAATGCCTATGGAGGTTTTGCCAACAGCTCAGTGCTTCCTTAGCTTTGAGTCCCAGCTTGACATGAGCCTTTGGGTCAGAGCATTTCCCCACCGTGGCAGGTGTGGATGCAGGGCACTCCGGCACTCAGCTTCACACGCTCTTGACAGCAGCAGCCACAGTGAGTTCTGACTCTGAAGAGCTTCAGAGGCAGTAAAGGAAGCTGCACACCTCATCCCTAAGGAGCAAACATCACTCAGACAGCGAGGCAGAATGCACTGAGAGAAACATTCCTAAGCACAGACCCAAACCTGAGCACAGGAGCCTTCCCTGTGCAGTCTGAACTCCAGAATGGGGATGAAATGATCCCAACACCCTGGAGCACGCGCAGTAACAGCAAAAACAGGTTTTACTCCAGCATATCCTACCTACACCTCACCCATACCACTTGCTGGTGCCATACAATGTGATGGACATCCACCTGCATCCCAACCTCTGCCTCCCAAGCACACCTCATAAAACCATCATCAGTTCCAGCAAGAAGTGCTCTGATCTCACACAGTGTCCCCTAGAAGTAAATCCCTCTGTCACTGAGAGCAGCTCCCTCCAGCAAGAATCTGTGTCCCTAACCAAACAACCATGGTGGGGGTTCATCTGAGCAGAGCCAAGCACCTCTCAACTCATCGGTCCCCAGCGTGACCAGAAAGGCCCACTGCCATCCCACGTAAATGGGGAACTCCACAGCAGAAGCTCCCCCAAGTACCACACACACTTCATCAGACCTCACCCGTGCTGGGGCAGGCACAGGGGAGCACTAAGGAGAAGATGCTGCAACCTGCTCTCACAGCACAGGAAGAACTGTGGCGTAAAGGCAGCGGCAAGCAGCCTGAACCCAAGCTTGAGGTTAGGTCCATCCAGAGACACAGCTCATCATCCTATTGCAAACAAGGTGCAACAAGAGCAGGTGAGGGCACGGAAAGGAACGGAGGAACTGTCAGCAATAAGAGAACTGTTCTTGCAGCACAGATCGCAACATCACACGTCACGGGCAGCGCGTGCTCACAGCACCAGAAGTCAGACACAACAGCGTGGCACAGCTCAGACAACTGACTGCAAAAGCCCCAGAATGAGCTTCAGCTCTCCCACCCTCAGCGCATCTCTACTGAAGTGCTGGAGCCCGCAGTGTTTTCACTGGGGCCACATCAACCCTCTTGGCAGCTTGGAGCAGAAGGGAGCTCTGGCACCCTCCGGTCCTCTCCTCCCACAAGACCTTACCTTCACTGATGGCTGAGCAGACAAAGATCCGTTCTTCCTGTCATCCTCATCCCACGCTTCCTCCTCATCCTCAGGCTCCGCGTTGTTGTTGCAGCCGCCCAGTTCCTCCTCTTCTTTGGGGACTCCATCAGTGTTCAGCCCCTGCAGGAGTGCTACCACTGCCTCTGGTTTGGGCAGCTTAGTTATCTTGAAGTGTTTCTTATAGTGGGGCGTATCCTTGCGGATGAGCCTCTGTTTCTCCACTGGGAACGGCCGCTCTTCATCTTCATCTTCATCCTCACTCCTTATCAGTGTGTCCTCAGCAAAGTGTACAGTGGGCTGCAATGGCAAAGGCCCAGAAAGGCTGTGAGCCTCAGATAACAGCCAGACATCTGCTCTCCCTCCAACACCAACACAGGCAGAGCCAGCACTTCACAGAACTGTAGGGGTTGGAAGGGACCTCCAGGAATCATCGTGTCCAACCCCCCTGCCAAAGCAGGTTCCCTACAGCAGGTCGCACTGCTTTCACACCACAGAAGATGCAGGAATACATCTTAGCATCCCTCTAACTGCTGCTCCCCCCCCACCCAATATCAGCACCTTCACCTGGACGCATCTATCGGTTCCATGGGCACCCAAAACGGCACCCCTGATATTCCCACAGCTGCTGTCTGGCTCCCACATATCCTTCCTAGTCCTCAATGAACCCAGCTACACCAGGGCCCCCAAATCTCTACCTGCAGTCACATGCCATGCCCTTTATTTGCCTTCAGCAATGCCCAAATCACACTCTGTACATCCATTCACCATTTCCCCAGAAACTCTCCATCCTTCCAGTCCTTAACTGGATCCCACTGCACTTCCCGGATTCCTACCTCATTATATTCCACTTCCACATCTTCATCCTCCTGGACAACCGCTTCCTTATGCTCTTCTTCAGCTCTTGGCTTGGCCTCCTTCTCCAGCTCCTGCATGTCCAGCACCTGCCCATTCAGCCGGCTCCTCTGCCTCTCCTCTCCCTGCTCCTCTGCCCTGCAGTCAGCAGAGACGGTGCTGTTGGACAGATGGGAGTCCTCGCTGCGGTTGGAGGTGGCACTCAGTCTCTTTTCCTGAGAAGGTGACAGATTGTAAAAGTCAAGACGGAAGCTCAGGCAGGAAGTGGTGCATTGCAATGAGACTGCTGCAAAATGGAATATGCTCCACTGCCAACAGAGCTGGCTTTTCCTTCAGGCTGCCGTTTCACCCAGCTCCACCTGTGTCACCACTGATGCTGGCATCTACGGTCAGCATCACACCTGTACAGCAATGCACCATCCCCCAGCACTCGGGTCCAGTCTTCATTCAGAAAATCAGTGACTTCCTCTCCCTGCATTATGACAGAAGTAGCACACAGTCCTCCCCCTCTGCCCTTCTCTGCGTCCTGGCTATGCCTCCCGCCCCATCTCAGTGGCCCCAGCTGAGCCAAGGTGGGTTCGAACCCATGGAATGCAGGCAGTCCATCCTCAGCCTGTTAGAATCATAATCATAGAACCACAGAATCACCAAGGTTGGAAAAGACCTCAAAGCTCCCCCAGTCCAACCGTTCACCCATCACCAGCAGCTCCCACTGAACCACGGCCCTCAGCACAGCATCCAGCCTTTCCTTCAACACCCCCAGGCTCGGTGCCTCCCCCACCTCCCTGGGCATCCATTGCAGTGCTGCCCACCTTTCTGACACCTCATTCTTCCTCATGTCCAGCCTGAATCTCCCCTGCCGCAGCTTGAAGCCGTTCCCTCTGCTCCCATCACTGATGGCACGAGAGCAGAGGCCGACCCCCAGCTCCCTGCAGCCTGCCTTCAGCAGCCATAGAGAGCAGTGAGCTCTGCCCTGAGCTCCTCTTCTCCAGGCTGAACATTCCCAGCTCCTTCAGCCTCTCCTCACCAGCCCTGTGTTCCAGACCCCTCACCATTTCATTGCCCTCCTTTGAACACATTCCAGGGCCTCAATATCTTTCTTGCATTGAGGGGCCCAAAACTGGACACAGCACTCGAGGTGCGGCCTCACCAGTGCTGAATACAGGGGAACCATCACCTCTCTGCTCCTGCTGGCAGCACTGTTTCTGATGCAGGCCAGGCTGCCATTGGCCTTCTTGGCCACCTGGGCACACTGCTGGCTCCTGTTCAGCCCAGCATCCATCCATACCCCCAGCTCCATTTCCTCTACGCCGTCCTCCAGCCACACCACCCCAAGCCTGCAGCGTCGCCTGGGGTTGTTGTAGCCCAAGTGCTGTTCCCACACTTCTCAAAGTTTTTTTTTTCCGCCCAGCTTACAAACACAGCCTCCCCATTCCCCAGGTTGCTGCGTGTTCTCTGCAGTCTCCATTTCTCAGCAAACAGCACTCACTTCTGAGCTGGATGAATTCAGGTCTGTGCCAGGCTTTGCAGCACAGACCTCACTGCGCCGAACTTCGATCACTTTCTTCATCACCTTCAGTTCACTGGGATGAGGGGTTGCTCTGCGCTGTAAGCCCTACCGAAGGAGAACACAGAGCATGGGATTTCACAGTGAGAGCAGCCCTAAAAGTGCATCAGTTCAAACCACATGTTCTATCAGACCAGTGGAGCCCTGGCTGGATGTGACCCAAACGTCACACTGCAGGACCTGATTCCTCTGCCATTACTGTACAGCTGGGAAGAGGAAAGAAATGGGGGATGACATTCCAAGCAGCAGCAGAAAAATCATTTCTGTGCTGGAAGGACAGGTGCAAATACGTTTTATATGAAGGATCCAGATTAAGATGATCTCTCTTCACAAGACAAAAAAAAAAGAGAAAATATTCTGCAAGAGATTTAAACCAATAAATATTTGCTGTAAGCTGAAACTTCTATCCTTCCCTTTGCGTCTGTAGCTAAAGGAAAATGATCTGCCATCCTTTTTGAGTCTGTCTGCAATGAAAACGCTGTGCCCACGCTTCCACAGGAAGGTTACAACCCTGCAGGAACTCCTTACCCGCCTCTCAGCTCCAGATTCATCCTCGTCGTCTCCTTTGGGGTCATCCAGGAACTGAATCACACTGACTCTGTTTAAGTTCGTATCCGTCCAGCTCTCATCCACGCTGTTCTGCAGAAGGTTCTCTGGGGAGAAAGACAACAGAGTGGGAGCTACTCTCTGAACACGTAGGGTTGCGTGCTTGGACGAAAGACAGCTCTCAGCCTATCAGGGCACTTCTATCAGCCCACAGCAGAGGGCCCTGATGCATCGGATGCACCTCCAGATCTTCTCACCTCTGTATGTGGCAGCTTCTACAGAACCCTAGTGAAGGGTTCAGGCTCACATCTTAAGGACTAGAGGAAAAGGTCGGATAAAGGCACAGATCAGAAGCATTAACACAGTTACGCTACTGCAACAGGAAGCAAACCTCACAGATAATGCACTACCCAGTCAGTAGATACAGCAGATGATCTGCAGACAAGGCTGCAGCACTCTCATGCTTTTAGCAGCCTCTGCCTTGGAAAGTTGGCATCAGCCCATAGGAGTCAAAGCGTGCTGCAGCCACTGCAGTAACCAAGAACGGTGCAACCAGGCAGAGAGGTTTGTGGTCTCTCCTCTACATCGCTTTCTGGACTGATGTACACAGCACTGCTGGAAGCATTCACAGCACAGAATCATAGAATTGCTCAGGTTGGAAAGACCTTAAAGGTCATTGAGTCCAACCCAGCCATCCCACCCCAACTCTTACAGCCCTCTGCTAAATCGCGGCCCTGAGCACCACATCCAATGGCTGTTAAACACAGCCAGGGATGGGGACCCAACCGCCTCCCTGGGCAGCCATTGCAGTGCTCAACAGCCCTTCCTGTACAGAAGTTCCTCCTGAGATCCAAGCTAAACCTCCCCTGGCACAACTTGAGGCCATTTCCCCTCGTCCCGTCACCAGTGAGAAGAGAGCAGCCCCGCTCTGCTGCAATCCCCTTCCAGGTACTGGAAGCGAGCCATCAGGTCTCCCCTCAGCCTCCTTTCCCCCCAGACCCTTCAGTTTTTCCCCACAACCTCTTACCTAGGCTAGGAGAGGGCTGCTGGGGAAGCAGGTAGCACGTGAGAACTTTTTCTCCCGTCTTTTCATCATCCTCTGTCTGGAATTTCAGCATGGGCTGGGATTGGTTTTCTGCCAGCCACAAGGCTTTCAGGTTAAGATTTGTCAAAGCAAAGGGCAAATTCTGGAGCCTGCAAGAGAAAGAAGGGTGGTTAAACATACTGGCAACGATGACACTTCCACTCAGCTCCAGCCTGCATCAGATAAGGACAGAGGGACTGCAGGTCCACCACTTCTGTATGCACAGAAGCAGCAATTCATGCTGCACGTGGCTCTGCCACAACCACACTGCTGCACCAACTGCAGGCCTGCACTGCAAACAACTGCTTGCCCACAGGTGCCCGCGGACACTTCGGACACCCGCAGCCTTTCACCCTCCTGCTGACCTGTTTCCTGCCACGTCCAGGACGTGCAGCTCGGTGGTGTTGGCGAGCTCTGCTGGCAGCAGGGCCAGGCGGTTGTCTCGCAGAGACAGGACGTTCAGGTTGGCACAGCCCCCGATCTCAGCCGGAAGGGACGTCAAACGGTTCCGATCCACGTTCAGGTTTGTCAGCTTGGTTAGCTTCCCAAGGGATTTGGGTAAGGCCTAAGAGGGACACAATTCAGTGGCTAATAAAGGACAGCAGAACGGGTATAGAGCCTTCTTGACAAGGAAAAGAACTGCCTTCTGTCCTAACGAGATTCCAGCAATTCCCACTACAGCCTCAGGACAGGTTCTCCCTCAGGTTCACAGCCTGTTCCATGCCCACTATTTATCTCAGGATGGCTGCTGGTATACTTACTGTCAGCATGTTCTCTGTCAGGATGAGTTCTGATAGGTTTTCACAGTCCCCAATTGACTCCGTCACCTCTGTCAGCCGATTCTGGTCCACCTTGAGGATGGAGAGCTGCTTCAGCTGACCTGCTCGGAGCAACAAGCAAATGTGAACTAAGCCACAGAGAGCTACGCTGTCCTATGATCATCTGCCCTAAATACCTCCCAAGAGGGATTTCCTAACCCAAGAACATAGGCTCTTCCTCCCAACTGGACTTTTTCCACAGATTTCACCCATGCATCCTTCCAGAACTTGAAGGGACCTGATAAGCAGGAGGGAAACTGACTTTCTACGCATGCAGAGTGTGATAGAAAGAGAAGAAATCACTTTAAACTAAAAGAAGGGAAGTTTAGGCCAGTGTTAGGAAGAAATCCTTTACCTAAAAGTGATGAGACCCTGGCACTGCTGCCCAGAGAGGCACAGGTGCCCCATCCCTGCAGCTTCTCAAAGCCATGAATGGGGCCCTGGGCAGCCTGACCTGGTGGGGGACAACGAGCCCACAGCACAGGGTGGGAACTGATGAGCTCTGAGGTTACTTCAACCTAAACCATTCTAGGATGTGATTCTACAACACAGATCAAGAACCTGAACACAGCCTGCACAGTTCTGCTCAGCAGCACCATCTAACTGCTTCTGCACTCTCCCAGCGACCGCATCCATCAGGCCCAAACGCTCTGATGGGCACAGCCGTGCCTGAAGCCTCCCCAAAGGAGGAGTCCTGCCCCACTTCCCATCCCAATACTCACCGATCCCATCTGGAATGCACTCCAGCAGGTTCTGTGACAGCAGCAGGTCCGTCAGTGCTACCAGCCCACTGACCTCGTTGGGCAGCTGCTCCAGCTTGTTCTCCGACACATCCAGGCAGACCAAACGGCGGAGATTGCCCAGCTCCTAGGATGGGAAAGGAGACCCTGCGGCTCAAAGCAGCAGCGCAGGGAGGGAGCGGAGCGGTGAGGCAGTGAACAGGTACTCACCGGAGGCAGAGCAGAGAGCTGGTTGCGGTCCAACCACAGCTCACGCAGGTTTGGCAGCGCTCCCAGGGTATCCGGCTGTAACACAGCGTGACAGTACGGCGTCAGTCCTCCCAGGAGGAGAAGCTGCTCTATGATCCTCCAAATCCCACCAAGCCTCTGCAAAGCTTGGCACTCTTGCTGTTTTCACATCTCCTAAACCATTTATCCAAAGGTGTGCAAACTCTTTGAGTCAGCACGCAGCAATCTGTTTGGGAATGTCTGGGCTGCCATACTGGCTGCAAAGCTCCAGCAAGAAACACGGGACACACCAGCAAAGACCTCCCAGCAGCGGGCAAGACAAGAGGCAAACAGCAATGTGGAGGGGCTTTCTGCCAAAAAGCCTTCCAGGCATTAAAGGCAGAATTCAAGAACAACTTAATCTGCAGCTGCAAAATGAAAAACTATCACTGGGTTTTCCCCAAAGTCAAAGGAGAGCTGGGTTTCAGGACTGAGCACTGGCTCCCAGCATGCCTAGGCTTTCAGCACTCCATGGAGACACCCCTGTCTGAGGGCACACACCGTGCACTGGGCTGACACTGCTGCCAGGAGTAATGTGGGATGGTCCTTCTGGCTGAGAAATTAAAACAGCAAGGGGAAAGATAAAGTTGGCCCAGCAGCAATGAAAAGGAACGACAGTGCAGCACAGAAGTGAAAGGAAGTATCAGGCAGAACCTCCTTGGAAAGGAAAATCCTTTGGCAGCTGCATAGCAAGAGAGAACATCTCAGAGCAGGAGGACTTGGAAAAAGCAGAACGAGGTGTGCATGAGAACAGGAGGAAGGGCCAACGTAGCAAAGGAAAATTAGGCTGGGAGCAACGATTGGGCAGAGCCTTCCATACAGTCTGAGGGTCCGTTTCTGTGCACTTCAGACAGAAGCCCACTCACATGCACAAAGGTACAGGTGCTGCCCCCTCCCACCCATGCTCCTTCCCACCACCCCTCACCTACCAGGACTTCCAGGTCATTGCCACCAAGATCCAACTGCTCTAACTTGACAAGGAATGAGAGTGAACTGCAAAACACGGGGAGTAGAAATGAGAGGAGGGAAAGGAAGAAAGGACAGAGGGTTAAGCATCATCTCAAAAAAAAAAAAATCACACCATTCTGAATAATTCCTAAACCTGATGGAGCACTGATCCCACCCCTTCCGTAGTCTGGGCCAACCAATTTAGGGACACTGACACCTTCCTGCCATCAGAAAGTCTGCACAGGGAACTGCATTCAGCAGCATCGGCAGCTCCAAAGTAGGCAGTTTCCACTGTCACCCATCTGCCCTCTCCTCCTCCCACCACAAAGCATCACCTGAGCAAAAACACGATAGTCCACGAGCCACACCTCAACACTGCTGCCCATTTTGTCGCAAGGAGGGGATCACAGAGCAACAAACCATGGGAAACAGCAGAGGACCACACGTATCCAGGAGACAAGGGAAGCAGAGCTGCAGGGAGAGGCAAGAATGCAAAACTGGGCAGCCCTGAACTGCGCAATGGGACGCCACGCTGCCTCAGCAGAGGCTGAGACACACAGACAAGGAGATCACCAGGCAAGATGCTGCAAGAAGCCTGCAAGGAACCACAGTCAGTCAACAGCAGCGGCCCAAAGAATGCACAGACTGCACCCAAAACACACTGCTGATATCGAAGGCAACCCCACAACAGCACTCAGTTCTTCTGACGTGGCCCAGGTGCTCTCAGTTCAGTCCTACCCATCAGCTCCAACAACTACTCCCTTAAACAGGGCTTGCTGGCTCTTGCTTTACAGCGAGGCACAAATCCCATTTAAACCCTGCCTACGCTCCACAGTGAGAGACTTCAGACCTCTTTATTATCTCTACAAGGGACTGTCCTCATAAGGAAGCCACTGCATTAGTCTGTCAGCACAGCTCTGCATCTCAGCAGCTCCCACACTGAGGTACTGGAGGCAGTAAGAAGTCTGGCCTGCCGGACACAGGCAGTAAAATAAGGGCACTGCATGGGAAGAGGGAGTTCTTGTATTTTGCAGCAGTGGATTTGGAGATATTAACTCAAGCAAAGGTTTATCAGTTACACTGCCAGAAGGATTCTGCTGGATAACAGCATCTCATTACAGAATCACAGAGCAACCCAAGCTGGAAGGGACCCATAAGGATCATCACATCCAGTGCCTGCTATAGCTGTACATTTGCTCTTCGACCTCTCTAAGTATGAAGCAGCCCTGACTCTACCTCAGCACCTTCACAGTTTGGTTTCCAGAACAGGGCCGGGTGAACCACAGGATTCAAGCTGATGTGAGGTCCTATGAGATGCATCAGTACAGAGCCCCCCTCACCATACCATGAGAGCACACCAACACAAACCACGCTTCCAAGTGACCGGCAGGACGTCCCCACCACGTGGGAGAGATGAGGAGCAGCAATAGCTGTACAGCATGGACCGAAGGCCAGCCCATGAATTCACACTTGGACAAGTTGAGGTCGCTGCATGTTGGAAGAGCAATAAAAACCAGAAGGATGCTGGACTTGTTTAAAGTCATTCCTGGGCACAGTTTGTAGCCGGACTAAGCGCAGATCTCATATTTGACAAATAGATCTGACACAAATTGCCTTGGCCTTTAGGACACTGGCTTTGGACATGATCCTGTCAATGGTGGAACATGCAAAGAAGATGGAACTGTGCTGCAGAATGAGCACACAGACCGTATTTAATGCTCAGAGGAAAATCCCCAAACTCAGAGCGTGATACGAGGGAACTCAGGGAACCAAAGGAACATGGGGGCACTCGAGATTTCCCAGCAAACATTTGGGTTTTTGTCACAGACTGAATTCTCAAAATCTGCACGCTTCCTGGTGTCCCTAGATAGTGAAAAGCCACTGGGATCATTCTTCATCGCAGCTTGGAAGCCCAGCTCTGGATGCAGCTACTGGACCTCTTTTCTCATGCAGTTTATCACATGGTGGCCTCTGCTTGCAGGAACACTGAACTCATCCAAAGACAGCAGTGGGCATCACCTCCAGATCCGAACTCATCCAGCTTCAGCTCTTGCCTTCACTGTTCTGGCTCTATTCCACACAGGCTCACCTCAGCTGGAGATATTACGAGGACACGACCTTCCTGCAGCAGGGCTTCAGCGTCAGCTTCTGTGCACAGAAGGTCTTTGGGACTTTGGGATCACAGGATGAGATGACAGAGTTAATTTGAACTAAGCTTCTATCACTGTGTGCTCACCAGGCACGACGGCTGGGAGCTGCTCAGTGCAGAATCAGCTCTGTTTTGGAAAGGACTGTCTAAACGGCCTCAGCTGATTCTACAGGTAGCTATAACTGATGCCATACAAACCCTGTGCCTGCAGATCTCACAGGAAAACAACTACCAGAGGGGAAGGCACAGCTGTCACAGAAGCAGCAGACTAAAACTCCAAATACTTGCAGTACTTGCCTCATTGGAAGCTTCTTTTGCCCTCTTAAAACAAAATAGGAGAATGTAGAAGAAAACACAGGCAGCCAGACTGAATACTTGCCACGAACAGCAAGGATGCTAAGGAAGGGTGACAGTACAGCCACTGAAGACAGAGCGTGGCCACAAAACTCACTGCTATTCAAAAAAAGTCAGGTGGAATCCCTTCTGACATACAGGAGTCAGAAGTTAGCTGGACGGACAGGCAGGCAGAATACAAGCTGACAGAGCTGACTGAGATGCAGCAGACACTTTGTATGGGCTTCAAAGCAGAGCTCTTCCAACACCCACTTGTCACAACACTTTTCTCCTCTTTTTCCAAAACAATCATCTTTTGTTCTACCTGAGGAGGAATAAGGATCCTCACAGAACCCTGTCTGCTCAAAAATCAAACCTGACACAGCATCTTCCCCTGCTCTAGAGCCCTGTGCCATTTCTCTTCCTCCTCATGGCAATTTAGAGACTTGCAGCAAGATGCAGCTGACCTAATCAAAGCTTCCAGCTCTCCCAAGCAAAATGACAGATTCTTTACTACAAGTCCACAACGGATCAGGAGGAGTGATGGGGCAGGAGAGCTCTGAAGCCACGTGACACTCACGTTGGTAGAGTCTTCAGCAGGTTCTCCCGTAGCTCCAAAGTCACCAGGTTTGCCAGACTGCAAGAGAAAAGGGAAATGAGAAGGCCAGATTCACTGAAAGGACAGAAATACAAGAAGATACTCATATCCCTTCCCTTGAGACAGCCCCCAGTGGCTTGCACAAGTGCATGGATCATTTCATCATCACAGGACAGAGCACATCTGTTTGGAAAGGGGCAAACGGGCAAGCATAAAGGGAGAAGGAGGACTTGGGAGGCCAGGATTTACTCCTTGCCTCTGCCATTGACTGTAGGTAGTATAAGCAGCTGGGATCCAGGAAAGGAACCTTCTCACAGGCTGCCTTTCACAACAAGGAGAATACCCAGAGGTGCAGTACGTCCAGGAGAGCAGCACTCTGTAGCTGCAGGGCACAAGTGAGCACGGTGCCCCGCTCCCACCTTCCCCTCCTTGCTGAGGAGCAGAGCCACACTCACTTCCCGATGTCGTTGGGGAGGCTCTGAAGGGAAACATCATTCAGGGCCAAGTGGCCCAGGCTGCGCAGCTGCGTGAAACCCTCAGGAAGCCTGTGAACAGACAACAGAACAAAACACCATCAGTGCTGAGCACAAACCCAGTGCTGAGCTCTCTGCTCACGTTCCCGGCAGCCAGTCCCACCCCAACTGGTATAGCAGGTGTGAAAGGGAGAAGCAGGAACCAGCCCTGACCCAGGCCGTGCTCCGTTTCCAAGATGCCATCACTCCCTTGCACCAAAGTTGCTGCATGTCCAAGTGACAAACACGTCTCTGAAGTATTTAAGCACGAACCCCAAACCGTGCCAGGTCATTCACCAAAACTTGAAAGGAGGGAGGGTGAGCTACCAACCCAAACACTCAGCAATGGATACTGCTGCACTCCCCAGAATCAGGCAGTATTACTAAAACAGTTTTGAGGTATCATAGGGGAAGGAAAGACCTTAAAGAGCAGAAATCCTTTCCTGTTCATAGGCTGTTCCTGGAGCAAACGACACATGTCTTACAACTCTGAGCCACAGAAACTGACAAATCATTGCAGGGTTTGAAGTGCCCGTGGTTCTACATGTCACACCTGTGCTTGGAGATCCCCAGCGACTGAAAAGCTTCTGCCCTTCTGCCAGTGTTTGGCACCACCAGAGGGAAGCAGAGTTAAATCTATTCAAATGTGAATCGGGAAGCAGCTGCCCAGCAGTATGAAGAGCAGTGGGCATGGGGAGACAGACTGGCACTTATCTCCAGGGGCTCCAGCAGACAACACGCCACGGCATCAGTGCCTGGAAGCTTGGCTCCTCAAGGCAGAAAAGCCAGAACTTCGCAAGACAGCCAGAATAGAGGCAAGTAGAGCCAGAATACTGTAGAGAAGGCAAAGTTCTTGGGCATAGTTCTGGCCACTGTAATACCAAAACAACCCAACAATTTCATCCTAAGCTATAAACAAAGCCAAGAGCAAAAAGGTCCAAGAGATAACGAATGACAACATGCAGCCTTCCTACCAGTCCTCTGTAATCCTATCAGTCCTCACCCACTCTGCTTTGTGCAGCACAGCGAAGGAGGAAGAGAGGAACCAACCTATGCTAGGAGGACAGAAGTCCCTGCCATCCACAGCAGTGGCATTGACATGAACAAAGCCTCAGGAGCCAAGCCACAGGCCCTGCAGAAGAAGGAACTGGCACCAGCTCTTCCCTATGCTGAATGTCCCATGTGTCATGGAGCAGACAAACAAAGGTCTTGGCAAAGGGAAGACGACTGCGAGACGCAGACCAGAAAAAGGATGGAGAACTTCAGCTCTCATTCCCAGCTGCACAAAGGGGCTGCAATGCACCCTCCTACCTGGAAAGGGGATTCCCACTGAAGTCTGCGATCTCCAAGGATTTGCAGAATTTGATGCTTTCTGGAATTTCTGGAATGTCTAGGGGAAACAAAAGACGTGAAAGAAACAGAGGCCCGGAAAGAGTCTATTGTGTAGCAAACAGGACACCTGGTACCAGTGACAGCCTGAGACACAGCAAGACAAGTGAATGTTGATATGTTCACAGCTCCAGCCCCACGATGGACCACTCTGCAGCGCTGCGAAAGGGAAATGCCTCTTTCAGAGCAGAAGTGCAGAGATGTGGTGCTGAGGGGCACGGAGCCGGCCTTACCATTGCGGGAGATGTCCAGTTCCACCAGCTGCATGAAGTTGGCCACCTCGGGGGGAAGTCTCTGGATCTCATTGTCACTCAGGCCCAGTTTACGGAGGTTCAAAAGCCTAAAGAAAGGCTGGGGCAGAAAGAGAACAGAAACGGGTCAGCGGAGCTCCGTGAGCAATTCTCACCTCAGGGCAAACCCCAGTTCCCATCATCTGTCAGCGCCCTGGTGAGGCTTCGAAGTGCACTGCTGCACAGATGGGAGCCCCAATTACAGCCTGCAGAGACGAGGGTGAAAGTCAGCAATTAGTGAGGTTAACTTAATGACTGATGTAACATCTCCATCACACCGCTGCCCTTCTCCTTCCCTTGTAAGATGTGCCGTGAAACAGAGCACCCAGGCATTCAAGCGGTGCACAGTGCAGGGGTCACTGCACAGCAGCTGCCAGCAGACCTGTGATGTTCATGGCTCAGAGAAGCCAACGAAGGAGAAAAACTAAGGGACATCCCAACCAAACTCCCATCCTCACTGTACAGCAGATGCTTATGGCAGTTCGTCTTGCCAGGACATCAAAGATGTTCCCAACCTGCAGGGAAACGTTTGTACCACATGGACTGGAAACAAAGAGAGTAAACTGTCTGCAGGACCCAAGAACCAAGAACTGGAGGAGGAAAGCAAACATTTCTCATAGAAACTCATGGACTCAGAGTGACCCTTACAGGTCTGCTAGTCCAACAGTACCTGACTTCTTCACGCCCCTGACTTTGGAAATTAATTATTTGGTGGTAAATTGGAAGATCCAATCAGAAACCCTCTTTCCAGACATTAACAGCTCTCAGTATTTTTACCACCAAGCACACTCTATCACGATAAGCAGCTCCTACAGTCCTGCAGCTGCTCCTACTGCTGGATATGGGGTATGGGACAGGATGGAAACCAAGCTGTGGTGTTTGCTGCATTTCCTGGATTGTGCTGGGACAACAGACAGTCATAAGGCACTGCAGAAAGTCAGACAGCTTAAAAAGCTCACCTATAACCCCCAGGTACATCCAGAGCCCATTCCACACATCTGCAATAGTGCTGAAGTCTTTGCCTGTACGCGTTTGCCTTCTGCCACACTACAGAGTGCTCTGGGTCGTCCCCACCAGTTCAGAGGGGTTCAGACAACCAAACCTTTACAGGTAATAACCCACGATGCCAACGAAGCACAAGGAACAAACTGGTGATTGTGAAGCGATGAACACAATCACAGAAAGCCCCTCGTTGGAAGGGACCCATAAGGACCACCAGGTCCAGCCCACAGCCCCACGCAGCAGCTCTGCAAACCCCGGGTCTGAGAGCAGCATCCCAACACCTCCTGAGCTCCGGCAGCTCAGCGCTGTGCCTGCTGCCCTTAGCAGCTGCTCCACATCCACTGCAGAACCTTTTCCTGATTCCTATCCCTCCCCAGGTATCAGGATAAAGATGCACAGACCACGAGGAGAGCAGCTCTCCCCACAGAAGGGACCACGATGAGGTCCATCATCTGACTGCACACCCTTCCCTGCCGTGGACCAAAAGCTTTGCAGCAGAAAAGCAAAGCCCTTCTGACGTCAAGCAGCACGAGCTCTCTTTAATTCAGTTTATCTCACGCAAAATCAGTTTAAGAAGAAAGGAAGTAGGTGAAAGTCTACATGACAACAAAGCCCCAAGCAGAGCAGGAGATGCAGAGCTTGATTTGCCATTGTTCCTTGAATCCTTCTCCTAATTTTAGAATGCAAGGAAATTCCAGGCAAGACATTGTGTTGGGCTGGGGAAGAGTGTGCTGCTGGAGAGCAACAAAGGGAAGAGCTCATCCACGGCCGCAGCCCCAACTGCTGTGCCTCTGGTACCAACTGTGAGCATCTCACATCACTTGTGCAGACTTCTGGATAAAATACAATAGAATTTACTGGAATGAAATCATGCTATATTGCAAGATACGTGGGAATTATGTATTGCCTCGTACCAGCACACCTACACTACTGAAAATGCTTGTGAACCAACTGCAGGCCAACTCAAGCACGGCGCTACCGTGACACCTTCAGTTCTTCACACTTCACCTCTTGGAACCGCTTGCAATATTGCAAAATATCCCATCCTGTGCATTCCCTTCTCACACCTATCACTTCTTCCTGACCCAATACTGCAGGACAAGGGAAATGGTTTGAAGCTGAGGGAGGGCAGCTGGAGGTTGGATGTCAGGGGAAGTTCTGTGCTGTGAGAGCGGTGAGGGGCTGCAACAGCTGCCCAGAGAGGCTGTGATGCCCCGTCCATCCCTGGAGGTGTTCAAGGCCAGGTTGGATGGGGCCCTGGGCAGCCTGGGCTGCTGTGAAACGGGGAGGTTGGTGGCCCTGCTGTGGTGGGGGGTTGGAGCTTCGTCATCCTTGGGGTCCCTTCCAACCCTCACCATTCTGTGATCCTGAATACTGACGGAGTGTCATCAGATCTGTGCACAAATTTCCATTCAGCAAACAGCACAACAACAGTACACATCCCATGTCCTGAGTGTAAGCAAAGCTGGACCTGAACAACACACTTTGATGCGACCAGAATTCAAACCAGGCAGAGGTCACCAGACCACAAGCAGAGCGCAGTGCTGCTGTGCAAGAATTGAGATTTTTATACCTGCAAGAAGAGAAAATGAAGCAGAACACAAACGACCCCTCATGTCTACACTGCCCAGAAGACCCTTTTTCATCACTACCAGGGCTGAAGTCAGCGTGAAGCAACCCACGACACTGGGACGGAATGGAGAGCTGACAGAACTGCACACACTAAATGCAGCACGATGCAACGCCCAGCTCTGCACGGAGACCTGGGAACTCCAAACTCCAACCATCACATCCAGGGAGCACAGCTGCACAGCAGACCCATTTGTGACAGCAGAAAGAGAACAAATTAATTTTAAAATCGTCAGTGGGACTAAGAGTGAAAGCCCAAGCAAACGTCTCTTTGGAGGGCAGCAATTATCCCTTTTTCTAATCACTGCTGACCTTGTTTCGCACAGTGGGCAGAAACCATGACAAATTAAGCGCTGTGTGAATCTACTGAGATGAAACAAAAGCACAGAGGAGTGGTGGAGCACTGGCACAGGTTGCCCAAGGAGGCTGTGGATGCCCCCATCCCTGCAGGCATTGGAGGCCAGGCTGGATGTGGCTCTGGGCAGCCTGGGCTGCTGGTTGGCGACCTGCACACAGCAGGGGTTGGAACCAGGTGAGCACTGTGCTCCTGTGCAACCCAGGCCATTCTGTGATTCCATGATCTCAGGGCGACTGTGGCCACACCACAACCCAGGGTAAATCTGACCAACTCCCATCCCCTGAGCTGTGACCCCACAGACAGAGGATTCTATGAGCGCACAGTGAGGGCTACAAGCAAGGGCCGCAGATCCCCAAATACAGCTTTGCTGCAGAGGGTCCAGCAGAAATACAGAACAGCTGAGGCTGGGAGGGATCTCTTGAGGTCAGCCCCAGAGGGCTGCTCAATGCTGTGAGAGGAGGCTCTGAACAGCAACAGGGATGGGTGCTCTGCAATTTCACCAGGCACACGTCACAGAATCACACGATCATTAGGGTTGGAGAGGACCACAAAGTTCATCCAGGTCAACCCCAAGCCATGGCAACTGAGCACATCCCCAGGTGCCACATCTCCACGGTTCTGGAGCACCTCCAGGGGCGCTGACTCCCTCACCTCCCTGTGCAGCTGTGCCACTCTTTCCAAGAAGAGATTGTTTCTAATATGCAACCTGAACCTCCCTGGGCACAAAGTCAGGCCATCAGCCCTTGTTCAATCACTGTTGCCTGGGCACACCTCGCTCCAACCTCTCTGCACGCTGCAGGGCCCCGGTGTCTCGCTTGCAGTGAGGACCCAACACTGAGCACAGCACTGAGGTGCAGCCTCACCACAGCTGAGTACAGAGGGATGAGCACCTCCTGCTCTGCTGGCTGCACTGTTGCTGGCACAAGCTGGGATGCCATCGGCCTCCTTGGCCACCCGGCACACTGCTGGCTCACAGTGAGCCGAGCATCAGCCAATACCCCCAGATCCTTTTCCTCCGCACACCCTTTCCACCACTCCATCTCATGCCTGTAGCAATGCATGGGGCTGTTGTGACCAAAGAGCAGGACCCAGCATTTGTTTTTGCTGGATTTCATCCCATTTTCTTAGGCCCAGTAATCAATGCAGCGCATCCAGCTCTCTCTGTAGGGCCTTCCTTTACTGCGCAGATCAGTGCTTCATCCCAGCTCAGTGTCCCGCACCAACTTATTAAGGGTGCACTCAACGCCTTCGTCCAGATGGCCAATAAAGATACCAAACAGGGCCACCCCCAGTACTGACCCCTGCCTAACACTGCTCGTGGCCATTTGTCAGCAGGACAGCACTCTGTTCACCACCTCTCAGGTCCCGGCCATCAGCTGGTTTGCCATCCAGCAAAGAGTGCACCCACCCCAGCCACGGGCTGCCAACTCGTACCTATGAAGGTGCCAGCATGACCACTGAGGCTGTGACAAGGCCCCAGGACGTGAATGAAGGGTTATAACAGAGTACTGGTCAGGAACAGCAGCTTTCAGAGCACAGGATGGGACGCACCTCCAAAGGCTGCCTTCTAATGCAGGGCAACGCCTGGCAGGGCCCTGCCTCCTCCCTCTGCTCACTCATTCAGAGGAATCAAGAAGTGGAAAATGCAAAAAGGAGAAAGGACAATGGATAAAAGGATCAGAATGAACCCTTTGAAATACCACTCGACTGTGCCATTTCCCAGAAACAACAGACTCCCGAGGGCAGACCTGGAGAGCCAACACTCCCACAGGGTTAATGGCCAAGGAGCTCCCCCAGCCCGTTCCAAGGAGACACAGTGAAGCATTCCCTCTGCTTTGGTCTCTCAGGACGTCATCCTGTCCCTCAGGGGTGTCACCACATCATCTCCATCCAGATACCAAGGCACTGACCACCACCACCGTCTGGGCAGTGCTCTGCTATAGGCAGAAGAACACCCAACAGAGTGCTTCCCAAGGCTGCAGCGCCACAGAACAAAGCCAGGTCAGAAGCCACAATGACCCTGCCTGCGATGCTACTCAGATAAGGGAGCAACAACTTATCCATCTGGAGAG